ATTTATTAAAAGTAAAATATAGCTTAAATAATAATAAAATAAGGCTATAGTATTTAATTAGTAGGCTATAAACTATAATAACATGCTTTAGGTAAGGCTTTTAAAGTTATTAAGTAGTTAATTTTATTAGTTTAAAGTTAAATAAAAGGTATTAATAAACTAAAATAATATTAATACTTTACTAAATACTTGCTTTTAAATGCTAAATCTCCGCCTATAGTTTATATAAGCTATTTTTAATAATATTTATGGTTAACTATACTTAATAAATTATAGTAAATTTAAACTTTTTTATTACTAGGGTCTAGCCCTAGGGAAAATAAACTAAAAAAAATTACTTACTTATTATTATTATTATATTTAATACTCTTAAAACTAATTTTATTAATAAAGTTATTTATTATAAGGGCTATAACACGGGCTATAGCAGCTAGCCTAGCTATAATAATATTAAAGTTTATTATTATTATAATTATAAGCTAGTGCAGGTAGTAAGTAAATTAAATAGTATATATAAGTAAGGTAGTAGCATTTACTTTTTTTTTTTTTTTTATTTTTTTATTTTTTTTTTTCCGTGACCTTTTTAGCCTCCTTTTTTTTATTTTTTTTAGCCTTTTTTTTCTTCTTTTTTTTTATTTTATTATTATTATTATNACCTTTTTAGCCTCCTTTTTTTTATTTTTTTTAGCCTTTTTTTTCTTCTTTTTTTTTATTTTATTATTATTATTATTATTATTATTGCCTGGCATAGAAGCTAAATATATTAGCTAATATACTTATAAATAAATAAGGGCTATAACTTATATTTATTAATACACCGCGTATTAAAATTATTTTAATAATAATTTATATAATTATTATTAAAGTAGCCTAGCATAGTAACACACTTTATAAATAGTTTATAACCTTAGGTATAATACCTATAAATTAAATTACCCTTAATAAGCATGCTAATATATTATTTAATAATAGCTTTTTAGTTAATAGGGCAGGCTATAATTTTTTTTATTATATTAATTTTATTAATAGGCTTGTAAAATATAAGCTTGTGTTATAAATAATATAATTACTTATAAAATTTATTTAAAACTACTAATTTATAGCCTAAATAATTTATTATATTAGTAATATAGGCCGCTAGCGGCTAGGTTAGTAAAAAAATAAGTAAGTAAGTAAAAAAGGTAGTGCTATTATTACCTTTAATATTAGTTATTATAATAAAAAAAATTTAAAAAATTAAAGGTTTATAAATTACAGGTTTATATAAGCAAGCTATATATTACTTATATAATTTATTTTTTTATTATTTTTTAAATATATTTATTAAATTTACTATTATTGCGGCTATTAAAAAAAATGTTACTATTTAAAATAAGCTATTAATAAAAGTATTAAATATTAAATAAGCTATTAATAGTAGTATTTTTAGTATTTTAGGCGGGATAAACTTTGTTCCAGCCTTGCGCATTACTCCCGGTATTAAAGCTTGCGCCCTAGAAATAACAGGACCTACGTAATTACCTAGGAAATGAATTTTAACTTTATTAAGAAAATAGCTATAATTAACTATTTTTAGGAAAACTAGCTAATTAGCTTATTAGCTATTTTAAAAATATATTTAAAAATAAAAATATAGTTATTAGTATAAGCACTAGCCTTATTAAAATTATAATATTTAATAAGGCCTTTACCTTTATATTAATAAAAAAATATAAAATATTTTAATATTTTAAGGTAGTAAAGAACACGCGTTATAGCCATAATATAATTTTTTAAAAGATACTAGTAAAATAAAAGTATAATAGTGAATAAAATACTTAGGCATATATTAATAAAAATTTGAATAAAGTATTAATTTAAAAATATTTATTTTTAATAAAATTTTTTTTATTAAGGCCCTACTATTCAACTTTTATAGTATAATTTTAAAGTTATATAAAGTTATGAAATTTTTATAATCTTTAAGGCTAAGTTACTCCAGAATATTTTTAATATAGTATTTTTAAAAAATAAATAAATACTTTGATTTATATAGTAAATATTAATACTAATAAAGGAAGTAAGTATATTAATATTAGTAAATTTAAAGGTATTTTTAAGCACCTTAATAACTTTTATAATATTATTTATAAATAAAAAAGCATAATATTATTTACATAAAAAAGTAAATACTTGGCGATAAATAAAAAGTAAATAATTTATGTATACTTTTATAAATTTAAGCAAAATAGAAAAGCTAGTAAGTATTTTATATAATTCTTTAATAATTACTTTATGTTATATAAGGTTTTTAAAAGCAAGTTATATTCACTAGTAATTTTATTACTTTTTAGCAGTTAAATAAAGATTTTTTAAAAAAAAAATAATATATAAAAAAGTAGTAATAATATTAAGCAAGTATAATACTTACTTATTGCACGTGGCCGGAACAAAGTGAAGGCCCGTATATAATAAATTGTAGGTCCCGGCTCCTAGTTACATGACCTTTTTTAATATTAAAACTAAGATATTATACCTAGCCACTGCAGCTAGTAATATTATATTTAAATTTAATAGTAAAGTAAGGTAATTAAATTAATTTTTTATATTTAACTTTAAATATAGATTATATATAAATTATAGTACTTTATATACTTGAAAATAGCTTATCTTATAGCACTTAATAAAATTTATAATTTAAATTACTTTTTATAAAATAAAAATATAAATTTATAAATTTCAAGGGCGTAATTACTTAAAAAACGTATTATTATTATTATTATATTATAATTATATTATAATTATATTATAATTTAGTGGCCTAAGGCTACCTAATAAAAAAACTTTAATATTAATTTAGCCATGCCTTAAGGCATCGGCTAGTTATATAATATGTAAAATACTAAGTTTAACTTAAAACTCTAACTTAAAAAATTAGTAATTAGCTTTTATTATAAATACATAATGCTTTCCTATTATAGTAATTCACGTTCTCCTAAGCTCAGCGCAGTATATAAACACGCCCTTATAAAAAAAATTAGTAATAATAAATTAAAAATAAGGTAGTTTAAAATAAAGGGTAATTTTAAAAAAAAACTTATATTATAATTAATAGTTTTTTTTAATTATTAGGTTATATAATAACTTTATAAAAATTAAAAATAATAATATTATTATTAATTATTTTATAAATAAATTTTTACATGGCCTTAATATATAAGGGTAATATAATAATTATATAAAATAAAAAATTAAAAAAATTTATATTAAGTAGCTAAATATCTTAATATTATATAAAAATATTTTTAATTTAATAAATATTTAAAAAAAATTAAAATTTAAAAAATAATAGTAATAAAAAAAGTAGTCATATATAAGTAAATATAATATTTTAATAAAAAAGTTATTAAAAGTATATAACCTTTTAAAAATAATAACTTAAAAATTATATTTAGTTAGGCTATAATAGTAAAGCTATACTTAGTATAGCTAACTAAGCTAATAGGCAAGGGCTACAGTAGGGCAAGCAGTATACTACGCTCCAACACAATGCATGGAAGATCATTCCGTGAATCGACTTACATCCGTCTCATCCGCTCGTTCTGATTCTTGCATCAGCTGTCTCAACGCTGTTGCGTCCCTGTTTGCCTCGGCAATGTACCTCTCGTGCACTTTTTACGCACGTCGCCATGAGCTCCTGATCTGACTTCACCTACCGTAGCCCTGGAACCTCGACGGTGCCAGCATCACTCTCATCCGTACAAAATTGGTCTTCATACCGTAGCCACGACGAGCAAAAAGTATCATGCCGCATGTACGTCCAGCGTAGAAACAACCGAAAGAAGGCATGCCTTGCTTAGATCTCCCAGCGCCTAAACACTAAAATCCCACCAACACCAACGTCACCCTCAATCCTTAGCTAGCAGTCACAGACTCAGCGCAACATCAGCCAAGAACCGAAAAGACGCCGGGCGTACACCTGGTCCTCACGTCGCCCGACTGGTCTTGTCAAGAAACTGTAGGGGTCGAGCGATACCACGATCGCGTCGCCGCCGCAGAGACGGAGTAGACCGGGCGAGCATTAGAATGACCAGTCGGATGCAGCGCAACTCCATCGCTAGATTCGCCACCAAGGTCCCGTTGACCTCGGCTTCCCTCGCATGCGATTCGTGAAAAGGCGGAGAAATACCTAAAGATCGAGGCGGTCGCATGACGTCGCAGGAGTGCTCTGTAGGAGTCTGCAACGAACGACGGAGTACACTGCGCCACGGAAGTTTACTCCGGAGTTTGACAGTCAATTCAAATATCGATGACAATGGCGTAGCCAGCGGGTCGATGTGAAAAGCCCGAGCCCGAGCCCACTGGTGGCGGCGAGGCTGAGCTTGTGCCTCGTGGTGGAGCATCGTGGGCTTCAACGATGACATCATCGCGAATTCACGTCCAACAAGAATGTTGAAAGAAAGGCAATGCCGCGATTGTTGATAGTCAATTGATGGAATGAGTTTATCCTAAGCTGCAGATGTCAGTAATTGATGGAATTAAGATCAGTGAGGATAGATGAGTGAACGCGACCGTAGATACAAGGAAGAAGGGAAACCCAGAACCTGGGAAGCTCCCCGCGCCATGGGTCACGACTCGACAGACACGTGCTCACCATCCAGCGGCTCCTAAGGTCACTGTTGGCAGTACCATATACATGTCGATGAAAGGGGAAGGAATAGAACAAGGTTGATAGAACAAGGATGAAGAGATCACAAATCATCAATTAAACGTGCTAAAAACCAAACAAATCAAGCCAAGTCGTATCGTATCCTATCAACAAACCCAAACGAACATCCATATACATCGCACAGAATCCCAAACATTCCAACCGAAAGACCTAAATACATGCCCGAGCAGACTTTTGTCTATCAGATCATCTATCTCTATCCACCACCAAGCACAAAGGGTGTTATGTTATGTTAATACAATGCCCGCCCGTCCAGACGAGCACGACAGCACGAAACCAACCAACTCGCCATTCAGTCCACGTACTTGGGCATCGTCTTCAACACGCCATCCTTGGCAATCAGCTCCATCGCCTTCCCAATCTCCGCTAAGAACCTCTTATCCTGTCTGAGATCATCACCAAAAAGACTCTTCACGCCCAGGATCTCATCGGGCTTGAGCCCGCCCTTCTTCGCGCGGCTCTGCAGCTCGCTCAGCATCGGATCCTCAATGTCGAACTTCTTCCCCGCGTCGTCGACCCCGTGCAGATACCTGAACCATGCCGCTGCCACAAAGCACAGACGGCGGAATGGGCCGGTGACCCAGATCGCCTCGGCGATGGAGGGCATGATGAACTGCGGGATTTTCCCGGACGCATTCAAGCAGATGCGCGGGAGCTGGTCCATGATCGTGGGGTTGGAGAAGCGCTCGATCAGTGTGCGGCAGTACTCGTCGATATCGACGCCCGGGATTTCGGGAAGCAGCGGCTTGACTTCGTCCTGCATCATCTGCCACAGGAATTTCTTGTAGGTGTCGTTGGCTAGGACCTCGTGGACGTACTGGAAGCCCGCGAGTTGGCCGGCGTATCCGATTGCGGAGTGCGAGCCGTTCAGAAGGCGGAGCTTGTGTTTTTCGAATTCCTCGACCGCGCGGAGATCCTTGACCACTTTGACCCCGACCTTCTCGAAAGGCGGGCGTCCGTCGCAGAAGTGGTCCTCTATCACCCAGTCCATGAACGGTTCCGTCACAACAGGCCAGTCGTCTTGGATTCCGAAGTTGTCGGCGAGGGCGGTGATATCGGCGGGTGCGGTTTGCGGGGTGATGCGGTCGACCATGGCGTTGGGGAAGTGGCCCTTTTTGGAGATCCACTCTGCGATTTCGGGGTTGCGGAGGCGGGCGAACGACTCGAGCATGTGCCGGGTGATGGCGCCGTTCTTCTGCATGTTGTCGCAGGACATGACGGTGAATGGGTTCAGGCCGGACGCGAAGCGGCGGGCGAGGGCGGCGTACAGGAAACCAAACGTGGTGCGCGGGGCCTTTTCGTTGGCGGGGTCGAGGTCGAATTGGATGTCCGGATGCTCGGCCTGCAGCTCGTGCGTGTTCTCGTTGTAGTAGTAGCCGGATTCGGTGATGGTCAGGGAGACGATGTGGGTGTCGGGGTGGGCCATCTTGGCGACGACGGCCTCGCGGTCATCGGGGGCGAAGAGGAACGAGTTGATGGAGCCGACGATGTTGGCGAAGCTGCCCTTTGCGGAGCGCTCGATGACGGTGTACATGTGGTCTTGGCTCTTGAGGACGTCGCGCATCTTCTTGTCGAAGGGGGTCAGGCCGACGCCGGCAATGGCGTAGTCGGTCACGCCGTGCTTCTGCATGAGCTGGTCGATGTAGACGGCGAGATGGGCGCGGTGGAAGCCGCCGACGCCGATGTGGACGATGCCCTCCTTGACGGCGGCATTGCGCTGGTAGGTCGGGACCTTGATCTGGCCCTTGCCGGCGTTGAAGATCTGGGCGAGGTTCTTGCTGTTGAGCTTGAGGGGAGGCATGGTGCACAGCAACTGGAGAGAAAGAGAAAGGAGAGAAAGAACAGAATCAGGGGAGCGCCAGAGAAAAAGGACCGTCTGGGTGGCTCACCGCCGGGTCTGGCGCTGGCAGCTGATCAGCGCGAAATGAAGAGGAACACATCATTACATCACAGTGGGGATGCGAAAAAATCAAAATAGGTCACCGTGAGATAACTGCAGTGATAAGCGCTGCACCTTGCGTCAGGCTCCGCTGGAGAAGAAGCGTCGAGAATGCTCTCTCTTTCTTTCGACTGTGATCTCTCTGAGGGAAGGCGGATAGCTCGCTAGAGCTCACTGCGCGGGGGAGTCCAGCTTCCAGCTTCCAGCTTCCGGGGTTTCGCTTCGGCATCGCAGCGACCACTCCAGCTCGGGCCCCAGGATTCCCCGTCCCGCCCGGTCTGGCCCTGCATTACCCATGACTAATCCGCTTATACACAGCTATCCAGGGATTTATCCATCAACACCAACTCCAAGCTGCCAGCTGTCAGGCTGACTCCGACATGATACATCAAAATTCAAAACTCTCGCAGACGGCCCGATGCATGCGGCCATAATCCTGCTCGGAGTAAATCCCTTCACCGACGGTCCATGCAAGGGGAGTCGCAGCCACCCGCGCCTAGAACACACTATTTCAGTCTATTTGCAGTCACTTGATCAGCAGGCTCCGCGTGACTCTGCCCCTTTCTTTTTCTTTTGCTGGGAGACGCGTAGGCTTCGCAGGCTAAAAGGGACTTATTGACCTGTCAAACTTTGCTGGCGCGCTGCTAAAAACAAATTCCCATCAGATGATCGTTCATCGATATCGGCCTCGCGTTGCCTGATATAGACATCCCGAGCCCCCGGATTCAGTGTCGGCTTGGCACTGTCCCTTGATAAGTCTGGACAACAACATACCCGGGGAATCTTGGGTGTGTGGGTGAGCTTAGTCTCGTATACAAACTAGAAAGAATCAATTTGAAGACCATTCGAATTTGGATTGGTTTTCTCAATTGTAATTTGGGTTGAAGCAATAATGTATTGTGATATATATTTTGCATCATTGAGGCCGGCGCACTTGCACAACACCTCAAAAGGCGAGGATATTCGCCATGCAAGCATTGTATACGAATACAATTTCCAGGTAAAGCTACCTCATCAACAACATGACCAAAAACCCCGTAGCAATAAAATCTGCAGTTGTAGACGATGCTGTGCATGTCCAGTCCTAGTCCAATGTCCCCTCGGAGTTAACGGAGTTCGCCCATGCAAGTCTAAGTCTTCTTGTGCGTCCGCCGTCCCGAAGCTTTGGGCCGACAAGGGTTCTGGCGAGCTTATTTGCAAGTCCGGGCGGGTGTAACCGTGGCTGAAGCTGGAATTCCCATGCCATACTCAGGCACGGCAAGATGTGGCAACTGGGAACCGTGGGATCTGGAGATCACGGCGCCGTTTACTACGCACTGCACGTATCCTGGACGCCGGACGAAGGGTGCTACAGGAGCTGGCTTGCACCGCGAATGAAAGTGTTCGGTGCCTGGTTAGTTAGTCGGCAGTCCGTGTGCTCGGCAAGTATAACTATGCCGGTGCCGAACCCAGTGCTACTGCTCGGGGCGCAGAGACTCCCGGCGATGAAGATCATGATCTCTCCGCGGGAAATCATCGTGCTACTCCGTAGAACTTCAAAGCCCGAATCCGAGGAAAAGGGTTCGATGCGTCGCTTCTACCCGCCGAATCCGATATCCCACCCGCGTACTACGTAACATCTACCCCGTTACCCCACATACCCAGACCGAGCCAGAGATCGTCGCCCGGAGAACCCCAGCCCTAACTGGAAGGAGAAAGTCGAGGAGCGCACGGGGCAGTGTCGTCCGCGAGCTGAAGTTTGGTTGTATCTTTACTAAGGAGATACTACCTCGCTATCCCGCCGCGGAGTTTTTTGAAGAGATAGGGGAGGCAAACAAAACAGGACGGGAAGGTGATTTGGAGTGGACGAATAAAGCAGCAGGATATCTACCTACCGAGATCAACCTTGAGTATCCAATGGCGCAGTCGGGAGCGCGAACATGAGAATTCCAAGGGTAGAACAGGGAAGCCGGAATGTCGACGCAGCTCTCGGGATCTGCGATAAACGGGGAAGCCTGATCCTCTGGGAACCAGTAAGCGGTCGCCTTGACTGTACGATACTAGGTAGGTGAGCAATGTGCCTGGAGGCGCTAAACGGTAACGTAGACTTTCGTGCTGTTCGGACTAGACACAGCTTGTGAGGCGTGATGAAGGGCCACGGCAATAGTTCCTGGCGATCCGCAGAATCGGTCCCAGCTTTAATAAACCACTAGAGACGCTGTTTATGGCGGATAAGAAAAAGCCCTAGAAGGACCAAGAAGCAAAGGCGCGTCATCCAGAGTGTCATGGCCATCCAATCACATTGTCTTGACCGACATCACACGTCTGAGGGTGCAGTAATTCAGGATATCTGGCAGGGAGGTATGGTCCCTAGATTCATCACGGATCATGCCGGTGACAGAGCTTTGGCAGGGGTCGACGAGGCTTGAGACCTGAGAAACTACTAATCCCGAGGAGAAATTAAAATAAGGAGATAGCCCAAGGGCATAGACAAGGTGGGAAATGACTTTCATTGAGCGTGCAAGTAGAAGGTGAGGATTGGCCATATTGCAAGCGTAAAAGACAGCATTTGACGCAAGCGCGTGGTCAAGCTAGAGCAGCGTCATCAGATTCACGTCAAGCACACGTTAGAACACCCAGGAAGATGTTGTCTGTGAGAAGAAGATGAATGGCAAGAGAGAGGGCAAAGACAACAAACCATATCTCGGGGCCGCAGCAGTTATGAGCTCGTCGCCTTCGGAACCAAGGCCGTCCTTGACTAGGATAATGCGAATGAAGCAGGACTGCCGCTACATCTGCGCAGTCGCGGAGCATGGCACGGGGACTAGGAAATCCCGGTCCTTTCTCCGCGCCATCTCGCTTCGGCGACTGGGGTTGCTGCGAACAGGTAGATGTTCGTGGAGAGCAATGAGACGAGCCGTTTGAAGGCAAGAAGGTTGGCTGTTGGTCAAAGAAAGGGGTCAGAAGGAGCGACCGAGGTCGATGAACGTGGACTGATGTCCGTCGCGACCCTTTCCAGTTCAAGCCAGCTTTCTGTCTACTCAGTCGCTCATGACCGATGGCCGTCCATTTGATACGGGGTTCATCCGTTCGATCCGTGATGCCAGCTGGACCCGACGCACCGGTACAGTCGAACCGGGGTGGTCTCAAGGGCCAGACCAAGAATGTCGGGAGCAAGGGAGCAGCTCCGGCCATGGAGATCTCCAGAGCTCACGATGGCAAATGGACGACGAGATGGCAGTGGAGCTTAGGGTAGCTGTGGCCAGCAGTGACCAACAGTTGGTACCTAGGTAGAGTCCCAACAACTCCTGACCCGACACGCGACAGCAGCGCTCGGGCCGACCACGAGGCACGATCGTCCAACAGCGACGAACGCGCAACGGAGTCGAGCGACAACTCCGTCCTGATTGTATTTGGGCCAGCCTTACCTACCGTACCGTCTGACCTGCAAGGCAGCGAGCTAAGCCCGATTTGCCTCGGAGGAACAGCCGCGCGAGAAGGGGAACTGCAGTGAGACAGCTGAGCCCATGTCTCGCCTAGAACCGTCCAGACCACGTATCACGGCCCTCGCTTGGATGGGTGGCTGACTTAACACCTGTCACCCTCGCTCCCTCGATCCTCTGCGGCCGGCGACATCTGACAGCCGGATCTCGAGCCGAGATGCCTAGCACGATCAGAGCTCGAGAGCTCGAGCTTGTCTGGAGACTCGGCTGGTTGGTCTCGCTTCACCGGGCTTCGTTCGGGTATCGATGCTAGGGTCATTCATCGGCCGTGCGACCTGCTGTCCGACCCTTGCGATTGCCCCCTGAACCGGCCAGTACCGACTCGTACTGTCTACCAATCTTTTCTTATTTACTTAGGAATATGGATGAGAGATGGTACTAAGCCAGGGACATTGGAGACATAGTGCTAAACTTGAAGTACACTTCCAGTCAGCATCAACCCAATACCGAGTGGAAGCAACAGCAACCCCAGACTCGGCACGAACCGAGAGCTAACCCCAAACGCAACGGCGGAGATCAGACCTAAACCGAAAAGAAAACGGGCTACAGGAACGGACAAATCCTCCAAGGACAATTCGCCTGTCATGCGCGTCTCCCGTCCGCCTCTCTGATTAGCTGGCCTGTCCAGTCCGGGGGCGACCCCCCGCAAGTCCGCCCACTCTCGACGTGCAGGCCTGCAGGGTTGGGCGACACCAAGCTCCTTCCAGCACGTTAGCCTTCTGCCAAGGGCGCACCGCATGAGATGCACGGGCGGCAGCTGCGAGCATCGGCCGTGAAACACCAGGGTGCAATCTTTTTATAAGAAGGGCCGCCCCCCATGTGTAACCCTGCTCGAACCATCCTCACCATCACCACCATCGACACCGACCCGATCCGCAACCGCTGCAATGGGTGAGATCAACGAAGAGAAGCACGGCATCTCGGTCAGCGAGGGGGCCAAGGTCGCCAACATGCATGGCGCGACTGCGGAGAAGCCTGGGGCCACCACCAAGGCCGTCTTCAACGTGCGCAGTCATCTTCACGATGTTTACCCAGCTAACAAGCCCAGGCCGAGCTGTTCGCTGCCATTAACGAGACCAAGATCGAGAGGTGGAGCAAGACTTCGATCCACCTTTACTGTACGTGTCTCGAGTTGCCTGAACTACCATGGTACTAACAGGACAGTCTGTATCTTCGTCGCCTTCTGCTGTGCCTGCGCCAACGGATACGATGGTAAGCTCCCTCTTCTTTTACCAGACTCATCCTGACAACCTTGGAATGTAGGCTCCCTCATGGGCGCCGTGTTCGCAATGGAGCACTTCCAGAACGTCTTCAACACCGGCATGACCGGCCAGAAGGTCTCCGTCGTCACCTCGCTCTACACAGTGTACGCCCCTCAACCTTGAAATATACCGCGTCTAACCAGTCAGTGGCTCCATGGTCGCAACCCCCTTCTCCGCCGTCATCTCCGACAATCTCGGCCGTCGCAAGTGCATGTTCGCCGGAGGATGGATCATCATCATCGGCTCGATCATCATCTCGACCGCCAACACCCTCGCCCACTTCATCGTCGGTCGCTTCGTCCTCGGCTTCGGCATCCAGGTCATGGTCGTGTCTGCGCCCGCCTACGCAGCCGAGATTGCGCCTCCCCACTGGCGTGGCCGTGCAGTCGGTGCGTCACCCTACCTAATAAACGAGCTTCTCTGACGTCCTAGGCTTCTACAACTGCGGCTGGTTCGGTGGCTCCATCCCCGCCGCCTGCGTGACCTACGGCTGCAACTTCATCAACAGCAACTGGTCGTGGCGCCTGCCCTTCATCCTGCAGTGCTTCGCCTCCGTCATCGTCATCATCTCCGTCTGGTTCATTCCCGAGTCTCCCCGTTGGCTCATGTCCCACGGCCGCGAAGAGCAGGCGATTGCCATTCTTGCTAAATACCACGGTAACGGCGACCCCAACGCGCGCCTCGTACGTCTCGAAATCGAGGAGATGAGGGAGGGTATCCGCCAGGACGGTATCGACAAGACATGGTGGGATTGTAGGTCCATCCCTTCTCGTTTCTCTATCAAGCTAATGAACAGACCGCCCCTTCATCTTCTCCCACAGCGGCCGCTGGCGCTTCGCCCAGGTCATCATGATCTCCATCTTCGGCCAATGGTCCGGCAACGGCCTCGGCTACTTCAACCCAGCCATCTACGAGGCCCTCGGATACACCTCCAGCTCCATGCAGCTCCTCTTCAACCTCGTGCACTCCGTCGTCGGCGCAATCGGCGCCCTAACAGCCGTGTACTTCTGCGACAGGATGCCCCGTCGTACCGTCCTGGTCTGGGGAACCCTCGGTACGTCCACCACTCAAATATCTTGCATCACCCAAATCCAAATACGAATACTAATACTAATCCAGGCTGCGCCGTCTGCATGGCCATCAACGCCGGCGTCTCCCAGCCCCTCATCCCCGAGCGCGACGCCGGCCTCCCCCTCGACCGCACCCTCGGCCAAACCGCCCTCGCCTTCTACTACCTCTTCCAGCTCGTCTTCTCCTTCACCTACACGCCGCTGCAGGGCGTCGTCCCCGCCGAGGCACTGGAGACAACAACCCGCGCCAAGGGCCTCGCGCTCTCGGGCTTCCTGGTCAGCGGAACAAGCTTCATCTCGCAGTATGCGTCCCCGATCGCGCTGGGCGATATCTCGACGAATTACTTCTGGATTTTTGTCGGCTGGGACGTTATTGAGTCTGCTTGTTGGTATTTCTTTGGGTATGTCCTTCTTTTTCTATCTGATTGTGATTGTGATTGTGATTGTGATTGTGATTGTGATTGTGATTGTGATTGTGATTGTGATTGTGATTGTGATTGTGATTGTGATTGTGATTGTGCGGGTAAGGGTATGTGCTAATAAGTGATGGCGCAGTGTCGAGGCCCAAGGCCGCACCCTCGAGGAACTCGAGCATATCTACCAGCAGCCGTCCCCCGTCAAGGCGTCCAAGAAGCGCGACCATGTCGTTGTGCAGCAGGATGGGCACGTCACCGAGAAGATCTCCGCGGATGAGGCTTGAGGCTTGAGGCCTGAGGCCTGAGGCTTGAGCGGGTGGTCGTTGGGCCCGTCTCTGCCCTCCCCGTCGCTACGGAGCATGCAGGTCGTAGCAGATGTGTTTCGTGAGTTGAAGTTGAAGCTGTTCGTTCTCCGCTGTATATCCCCACCTCTCTGAGGTTCTCTGTTCTCGTTCTTAATGAGTTGGACTGTGGCTGGCTGCTCGTGGCTTGGTCTATCTTCTTAGGGTAGCTGGGAGGTCAACCCGTGGTTCGTGTTTGTGTTCATGGTGCCTTAGGTAGGGTAACTACCTAACGTAGCAATACTATGACTACCTAAATGCTGCCTCGACTCACCCGCACGGTCTCCATGCCATGCTCGCGGACCGCACCGAGCAGCATAGCAATAGCAATCTCAATGATATAACATCCATGCACCCGCCGAGATCCCGTGCAGTCGATCTAGATTAGTACTCCGTAGGATAGATTACCCACTGTATATGCTCAGCTCCGTTTTTATAGTTATATAGTTTTTTATTTTATTGTAGTTTACCGCCTTTTCCTGCACCTTAATAAAATATATATTAGTTTTATTAGCTTTTACTGCTTTTTTTTATACACCTTTTAAATATATATATTTATTTTAATACCTATATATTTAGTATATATACCCCGTGTGGTTCCCTAAATTTAATTATACTTAATATTTATTAATACTTTATTTCCCCTTTTATATTTATATAACTTTTTTAATTTTAATATTCTAGGGCTTAAAATTAACATTTTATATTTTTTAAATATTATTTAATATTTAATTAAAATTTAGTTTTAATTAATTTTTATAAGTATAAGGCAGGTAAATTTACAGGCCTAGTTTATATAAGGTTTTTTTTATTATTATTTTTACCTTATATAAACTAGGCCCCCTAAAATAACTTTTATATATTTAAATATTTATACCTATATTTTTTATTATTAAGGGGTTAGTAAAAATATAAAAATAAATAGTTAAAATATTATATATAAAAAATAATATACTTAATTACTAGGTTATTATTACTACCTTTTATATATTTTTATTCCTATATCTAGCATGCTATTTTAAGTAGTTTTTTTATTAATAGGCCTTTTAAGTAATACTAAAGGTATTTATATTAAGTAATAATTATATATTATTAATTTTTAATATTTAATATTTTTATATACCTTTATATTACCCGTGGCCTTATTAAGGTTAGCTTACTAAGTAATATTAAAAAGCCCTTTATAAATATGCCTTTTAAATAATATTAAAGGTAATTATTTTAGTTAGTTCCTGTGTTTTAATAGCCTTTTATTTTTAATTTTTATATTTTTTTATATTACCCGTGATACTTTTAAGTTAACTTATTAAGTAATATTAAAAAAGCTAGGGTTTTTAATAATTTTATATACATGGTATTATACTAGGTATAATTTAAATATTTTAATATATTATAGCATGGGGGGGGTAGCTATAAAATTTAGTTTAATTATAATTATTATTTTTTAGGTTAAAACTAAAATAGGCTAACTAGGTATAAAATATAATATTAAAAAAATTATTTATAGCCTAGGGTGCCACGGGCGGTACTTATTTATACTTTATTTTTTAAATATATTATTAAAAAAGTAATAATTATATAAAGTTATAATTTTAAAAGTTTTTTTATAAAGGCCCGGGTTTTAATATAAGCCTATACCTATTTACTTATTTAATTTACTTATTTATAGCCTTTAGGCTTTTATATAAGTACTTAATATTTTAAATAGCTTTATAGCTAATATAATATATAGCTATATATAGTAATTATTTAAAGTTTAAAAATAAAGGGGCCGGCCCCTAAACTAAAAATATTTATTTAATAATAATATAAACTTAAGGGCTAGCTTTATTTTTTAATAATAATAATTAAAATAATACTTATTATAAAAAAAAGCAAGGCCCTTAACTAAAGGTTATAAATAGCTATTTTTTAGTAATTTTAATTTAGTAATTTACCTACTTAGTTTACTTACTTAGTTTACCTGCTTATAGCCTTTAGGTTTATATAATATATATAAATAATTATTATTTTAAAAGGCTTTATAACTAACATGTTTTAAATTAGTAATTTTTAGGGTATTAAATATTATTATTATTATTATATATTTTATTATAAGTTATAGTAAATTTATGCGCCCGTGTAAAGGCATGTATAAGTTAAACTTTAAGGTTTTAATTTTTTTAGTAATAACCTTATAATTAACCTAAATTAGGTTTTAGGTAAAACCCTAAAGTTTTATATCTTAATTTTATATTATAATAAATTATAATTTAGTTTGCCTGCTTAGTTTACCTACTTAGTTTACTTACTTAATTTACCTACTTAATTTACCTGCTTATGGCCTTTGGGCCCCTACATGTAAGTAGTTATTATTTTAAATAATTTTATAATTAACATGTTTTAAATTAGTAATCCCCGGGGTATTAAATATTACTATTATTATTATTATTATTATAAAATATAAGTATAAGCTTATAAAGTATTTTACTTCCCTTAGATATTTTATATCCGCCCTTAAAAAAGTATTTTTTTAATTTTTTTTTAACTTAAAAGCTAGGAATACCCTACCTAGTAACTTTAATAATCCTAACTTTAATAATTCTAATTTTAATAATACTTTTATACCCACTCTTAACTTTATAATTTTAATAATAAATTAAAAATTTACTTAATACAGGCCTTACACGTTAAATATTACCTAAATAATAATAAAGCTTTATATTAATTTTTTAACTTAAAAGCTAAAAATATCACTATTTTTTTAATATACTTTAATAATTATTTAATATAATATATTTTTTTAATAAAATACCTATAGCCCTTAAAATATTAATATTTTTAATTTAAACTTTAGCATAGGTCCCCGGTGGTAATAATTTAGGTTTTAGGTAAAACCTTTAAGTTAAACTTTAGCACACCCTTTATTACTAAAAACCTGGCCTAAAATAATATTTTAATAAAAGTAAGCTAACTTAACTACCCTATTAATAATATTTACTAAGAATCTAGTTTTTAAATATAAAACTATGCTATTTATAAGGTAAATTTTATTAAAGTTATTAAATACCTAGGGGTACACCCGCCTGTTTTTAATAATAATTATAAAAGCTAGTTAAATAAGTATATTTTTTAAAATTATTAAGCACTTAGTGCTAGTAAGTTTATTAATATTAAAATTATTAAAATATTAATATTTTATATTTAGCTATTTATTATTATTTACTTACTTAGTTTACTTACTTATAGCCTTTTAGCCTTTAACCTATAAGTTATATTTTTATTTTATAAGTTTATATACTAAGTATAATAGTTTAAAAAACTAAGCCTAATTTTAAAATATTTTTTACTTTTTATAAAAGGTATTACACCCTAAATTAATATAAGTTAGGCTGCGGGTAAGTTAACTACCCTATTTTACTTAATATAATATTAATTAGTACTAAAATAGGCTTATAATAAAATATACTAAAAGTAGGTAATTACTATACTAAGGGGCAAACTTAAAAATACAAGAAATAATATATATTATATTTAAATAATAAAAAATTAAAAAAAAGTATTTATACTGGGATTAATCTAGTAACCTTATTAATATTAAAAATAAAATTAAATTAACTAACTATATTATTACTATTTTTTATTATATAAGGTAATTTTTAATTAATAATAAGGTTGCCCTATAATATAAATAACCTTAAAAATAATATATTATATAAATTTTAGCTTTTATTTTTAGTTATAGCTATATTTACTATTTTTATACTTATTTAAGCCTTTTAATATTATTAATATATTTATTTTAGCCACTTTATCCTGCTTAATTTTTTAACTATTTTTAAGTATTTATTTATATAAAATTTAAAAAGGCCTTGCCGCGCCTGCCTTAATTATAATTTTTTTATTTTTTAAAGGCTTTTTATATACTAGGTACTAAAATTATAGCTTTATAAAAAGGGCTAGCCCCTTAATAATAGTATTAAACCCTTAAAGGTAATAAAAATATAATATAAAGTTTAATAAGGTAATATAATAACCTTAATAAATTTACTTATTTAATATTATATTATTAAAAAGTACTACCTTAGCCTACCTGCTAATTTATATTATTTATAATATATTTTTAATAAAGTAATAATATTTATAAATATATTACTAGGCCTAGTAAGCCTTATTACCTAGGCTTTTAACTAGCCTGTTCCTATTTTTTTTATAACTTACTTATTAAGGGTTAGTATATTTATGTATTAATAAGTTAGGTAAGTAAAAATACTTAAACTATATATTTTTATTAATATTTAAGCTTTTTATTATAAAAGATTTAAAATTAAAAAATATTAAAAAATAAATAAACCTACTATAGTACTAAGGCTACTTTTTAAGCACTTTTTAATACTTTATATTTAATAACTTTATAAGAAATAATAGCAGCTAGGTATGTTTAGGTAGGCTTAGGTTAACTAGTAATAAAAATAAAGGTTTTTAATATATAGCTAGGCCAAACTTTAATTATTAAGTTAATAAAAATAGGCTTAAGGCTATAGGCTATAACTAGCTTATTAAGTATTATATAATAATAATTACCCTAGAAATTACTAAAATTTTTAGGTAAGTAGTTATACCTTAATATTTTATAAATAATTAATATACTTTAATATATATTTTTATTATATACCTAGGCTTTAATTTATTATATTTTAGTTATTTTTAATATTAAATAATAATTTAGTTATTATACTAGCTATATATAATATACTTTAAATATTTAAAAAAAAAGGCAGGGTATAAATAATTTTTTATAATATTTATATTTTACTAGCTTATTAAGCTAACTTTTAAATTTAAATAAATCTTATTTTACTTACTATATAGCCCTTATATATATATTTTATTTTTTTATTATATATTTTATTACCTAAAATAGGATATAAATACTACTTAAATAATTTTTTAATAGCTTTTTA